AGATTGCTACATTTAAGTCAACTTAAATCTCAGATCTCTACAAATAAGATATTTTAATAACTCCAGGTAATGTACGAAAGGTACTAATCATAGATAGGTACATTTATAGGCATACTTATTACACAGAGAAAAGTATTAAATAAATACTTGGAAATGAGTTGATTGAAATCAGATATTTAGAACATATTTCAAAAGAACAATATGCAGTTTATCTTGGCTCACTCAAATAATTTTTGGAACAAGGTGGAGTGTAATTAAAAAAAATAAAAAAAAATACCTAGGAGGGAATGACTCATCCTCCTCTGATCTGAATTTTTAATGCTTCACTTATTTTCATTGTACTGTGTCCTTTGTAGATAATGACCCATACATTTCATCTAAATATGTTATTATGGTGTTTCTATGGAGTACGGTAAGGCAATCTTACTGGAAAATTCAAACTGAACAGATAATAAGTGATGATTTGGGGGCTTTAAAAGATTCTTCAATTTTGAAAACAAAAACTGATCACATTTTTCTGTATATTTTGTTTTTTCAGGAGTTTCCTTAAATTGATCAATCAAAGTGATTCATTAGAGTGTTACAGTACTTTTACAATGTGGAAGATAGCCTGACATTTAGGAACATGGATTATGTGGTCAGATTTGTATTCAAAGAAAGACTGCATATTTTATTAACTTGGGTTAGATATCTAACCTCCAGTTTTATCATCTGTAAAATAGGAATAATATCAATCACATAAGGCTCTTACAGGAATCAAATGATATAATGATTTTTTTAAAACCAAAACAACCTCTGAAATATAGTAAGTGGTAGTAGATGTTCAATTATCATGGACCAAACCTTTGATTTGCCTTTATATATATCACCTTCAGTTAAGAGAGCATGTTAGAAAGAACAAAAATGGTGGTCTGGGTTGCTTGATTTATACTATATCCTTGGGGAATATGGTATGGAAAATAAATATCCAATATTGTGAAGATTGTCTTCAGATGATATTTTTTGGTTCTCCAGGAATGCCAATTCAGAAGTGTTATCATAAAGAAGGCCATTTAACCACCTTCCCCAAATTAGGGTTAATTATAGTCTCTTACACACAGTCACCTTCAGATGAATTAAAATATACATTTATCTGGTAGGCACATTTTGAGCACATAATACCATTGCAAGTTTTACATAAAAGAAACTTAGATTTCCATGTACATTTCCCTATTTGGTGACTTGTTTAAAGAAGAAAACATAATTTATATTATGGAAAATATTGAAGCCAACTGCCCATTTAGTTTTCTCTTTCTTAAACCATGTGATTAGGCCATGGTGGGGCTTCACTGCTCTGAGCCATTTCTGGCCTTTTGTCTTCATGAAAACCTAAACAAAATGTTTACGCTAAAGCACAGCTAAGATTGAATTTTGAACTTCTACTACAATGTTCAGATTTTAAGGATTCTTTTAAACAGAAAAACTTAGAGTGAGAGATTCATTTCTTCCATAAACAATGCTCAAAAAAGTTTGTTCAATTTAGTTAAAAAATACATATTTCTCTATACACATCTTATGAATCTCCCAGAAATTGTTTCCCTTGGACTTAATGTCATATTACATTTCTGTTGACTCTTCCTAGTACTGTTATTGTTGCTGACTTAGTGTTAGAGTTTGGTCAGAATCTTAAACTATCACTTAGTATGAGATTCTTATAAAATCATAAGTTTTCCTTGAACTGATATGACATTTCATATCAAATGAGACACTTACCAATTACTTTTTGTTTGTTTATTTATTTGTTTTGTTAATTCTCACACAATGACATTCTTCCCATTGCTTTTTTACAGAGAGTGGAAGGGAGGGAGGGAGGGGAAGAGAGAGAGAAACATCCATGTGAGAGAGACACATGGATCGGAGGCCTTCAGCATGCACCCCGCTGGGCTGGGAATGGAACCTGCAACCCAGGTACATGCCCATGACTGGGAATTGAACCTGAGACCCTCCAGGGTGTGGTCCGATGCTCTAACTACTTAGAAATACCATCCAGGGCCAAAGTATTTTTAAACATCATTTATAAACTTATTTTCAAGAAAAGCATAGAACATAAACTCCAAATTATCTTTGCTATAGATATCCTGTGTAATAAAAGCATAATATGCAAATCAACTGAACGGTGGAACAACTGATGTGCACCAGGGGGCACACACTCAACGCAGGAGCTGCCCACCGCCTGCAGGCCCCAGGTCAGCCAAGGCGGGTGCCAGCGGGGGGCCCCCAGATCGCCCCGCCAGTCACCCTGCAGATTGGCCCTGATCGCCAGCCAGGCCTAGGGACCGTACCCGTACGTGAATTTTGTGCACCGGGCCTCTGGTTGTTACATAATGTAGGTAATACATGGAGAAAAGGTGGCACCAGATTGAAATCAGTGGTGTTCTTTGTTACTTTTAGTAGGCAAAGTAGGAAACTGATGATGCTTGGCCCCAAATACCAAATAAATAGTATAACCAAAGAGATGCCTCTTAAATAAACTTTTTTTGGGGGTCACTTGTCATACTCTACATAAGAACAACTGTAGTATATGAGACAGCATTTTTCTGCCCTAGGGCAACATTTGGTAGGGCATTCTCCTCCAACCTAGTGCCCCTACTTCCCACACATAACACTTTCTGTCTCTAAGTGATTTTATAGTCAATGATTTGTTAATTTCTGCATTACTTTATTAGAAGACTATTTTCAGAATATTTTTAACGCACACTTCTAAGGAAATTTGACAGATAGAGATTGAGGTGTAGTGGTACATTATTTAAAGGAATAAGGTAGACTTTGTTAACCCTGGACCTAATCAGAATGTTTAAAATGAACGTTTTAACGAATTATCAGTTATTTTCCAGTATTACATATCGATAAGAAAAATTTTAATCCAATGAATTTGGGGTTTTTTTTGTGTTTTTTTTTTTTTGACATCATGGCATTAACTTAAACTTGGTCCTTTGAAGAAAAAATTAAGCATATGAACTTCAGTTGTTTTTTCATAGTGACAAAACAATACATTCAGGAATATTGCTGTGGAAATTCAAGTGATTTAACTTCATTCAGCACACTAATGCACGGTTTTTTGTTTTTGTTTTCCATAACTGAATAATCAAAAGTGTGGTGAAATTACTCTTAATGCTTCACAAGAAGAATGGCTTGTTTGATTCTTTTGCAGGACTGTTTCATTGCCGTAATTTTCAAGCATGCTGAGGTGCCATAAGAACTCTCCTGAGTGCTCCAAGGTAGCTGGTCATTTTTTTTTAATACACAATATCAGGTACACAATAGGCAAGGGAGAGCTAAATTAAGTGGCAACACCAAAATGTATCCACCAAACAAAAGGTTCTTCCTCCAAGAACCTCAAAGGGCCTCATCAAAGAGAAAGTCTTTCCTAATATTGTCCAGTAGGGGGAACTAAAGACTCACCTTCTGGCATTTAGCTCAGCTCTGGGAACGGCATGAGTTCCTACAACCCGCCTTCTAATCACCAGAACCGGCATCAAACAACTACCAGGGAGCCTGTGATCACACGTGGGCCCGGCCGCACTGGCCACACCGGCGGCACCGCAGACTCTGGCATCCCTTTGATCCAACGTGTCTTTCCTCAATCGTCCCCGGCCCTGAATGGCATACACTGGGTGGGTGGGTGGGGGCAGGGTTGCTTAATTTTCAGGGTTTTGTCATCTTTGGGCTGGAATCCGGTCTTTTTGAGCTTCTATTAGCTCGGCTGGGTTTTCAGCTTTCCCCATCCTTCGTTTTCGGATTCTTCTTTCAAGAGGTACCCTTCTTACTCTGGAGGGTAAGGGGTTCGGGTAGTACCCCCCCCCCCACCCCCCACCGCCAATTCTCTGATTCCTGCTCCCATCTTAAGCGTCTTCGGTGCAACTCCCTTGCATCCCACAATCAGCATCAAACTCACCTTTCAGGGGTCAGAAGGCAACCGAGTGATAGAAGAGGCGATGCCATCCCTTCCTCCTGTGCTCCCTCCCCCCGGGGTTCCTCGAGGGGCCATAGATCTTGGCTAAAACAAGCCGGTAGAGGCTAGATTTCTGTACACCACCCTCCCTTTTCCTTGTACCTTTTTAATGACATAGGAAGCACCCCCCCCACACAACCTTTCCGCTCCAAAAGGTGGTTATATTTTGTTTCCTTTCCTCTTCGCCTGTAGCTTCCTCATTTTGCTAAAAGGTGAAGTGTACTTGTGCGATTTTAACCGGTAACGAGGCTGTGCCCTGGGTCCTGGAGGATGGAATTTTTCCAGAAAGCGCGTGCATCTCTGGCAGGAGGAGAGCTGAATAATTAGGAAGGGCTTCCATGAAATCACTCACCGAGAAAATTACCTGCCCATTACGCGGGCCGCGCCGAGGAGCGGGGGCTGGAGCCCACCTATCCCTCCCGAGGCGGGAAGGAGGGGACGAGGAGGCCCAGAGAAGAGGAAGGAGTTGACCAGTGTCCGCGGCTCCGAATTAGTGAATTCCCGTCCCCCTCGGGCCCGGGCTCCCGCGCTGGCCCCTTCCTCGGCACCGCGCGGCCGCTGGCGCCCCTGCACCGGAGGGTGGCGGAGTGTGGAGGTGGAGGGCTCACCGCACCCCTCACCCCCCCCCGCCCCCCAAACCCGGGGGGCCGACTCCTAGCAGCTTTCAATTCCTTCCCTCTCCTCCCGCCCTCCTCGCTTCCCCTCCTCTAAGTCTTTCCACCCGCCCCGCAGCTTGTAGGAGGAAGCAGAACGCCTTGTCTTCGGGTAGCAGAGCGCGGCGGCTGCCGGCTGACCGCGCGCGCTCCCCTTCTCCCCGCTCCGCTCGCGGCTCCCGAGCTCCCTGGCCCGCTCCGCGCCCTCCCGCAGCCGCCGGCGCTCCCAGCCGCTCCGAGCGGCCCCGCGGGGTGGCCGCGGCCTCAGCCCTGCCCCTCCCTTCCTCCCTCCCTCCCTGCCGCCCTACCACGTAGGAGTTCACCTTCTCCACCGAGGCGTCTAGATTTCCTTTGCTTCTCTGGAAACGAGAGAGGTGGAGGGAGGCGACGCGGCTGCAAAGGAGAGGCTCGCCCAGGCGGCCCGCCTGCAAAGTGTTGCGTTGACACCTCCTGGCTGTGGAAGTTCGGGGGAAAAACTCCGGACGCGGAGCTGCTGCCCAGAAGGAGACCGGGAAGGAAACCAGTAGGCAGGCCAATGGTTTTCCGGCAGCGCGCTGGCAAGTTTGTGGAACACTTTCTAGGAATTAGATCTTCTTCCTCTCCCTTCCTCGTCCTGACTTCTGAAGAAAGAACTTGGTTTTGGATTGCCATGGAGCCCGAGGAGTGAGGGTTAGACACACTTGAATAATCCCTCCGACTGGGCTGCATTTGTGGGAATTTAGGAAGCCCGAGTGGAAATACAGCAGCCTTTGGTGCGCCCTCTGTTCATTTGGATGAATCTAAATGTGCCCCATCCAGGACCGCTCCACTAAGCCCTCTCATCTTGCGATTTGCTCTCCTTGACTTTAATTAGCATCTAGGAAAGTCTGAACTTTGGACCTACCTCTTCTTTTGATACTTATTTTTGTACTTTTGCTCTCTGGGATTGGTTTCTTAAAACAATCTGGATCCTTTTTAATATGTCAAAATGAGTCGGCTGATGTTTACACAACTACTGCTCTGTGGATTTTTATATGTTCCCGTTGATGGTAAGTTAAAAATGCTTTTCTCCTCCCCCACCAAAAAAATACACTTTTCTTTCTGAGGGGGATGTGGGCTCTAAATAAAATGACTTTGTATGTTTACGTCCCTTTTGGCCAGGTGTGGGTCTTTAGGGGGACAGTGATTTTAAGTCTTTTGTTTCTAAACAGCTGCAAGTGGAACACATTAGTAGTCGCCTACTGTTGTTTTTTTAATTAATTGAGGAGTTGGACAATAAATGATGGGATCTTAGTTTTGTTAGAAGAGAATTATTAAAGGAAATCTCTCGAAAGAGTCTAATACTGTGGTACTGCTCTGTTTGGTGTTTGTTCTTGTATCTGAACTTTGACTTAGACATTCAAGTGAAGAAAATTAGTAATGGATGGTGCACTGAAGGTTCATTGAGTTAGGAATGTGGGACGAGGTCTCTCAGGGAAAAGTGTGTATCACCTTCATGCTGGCCAGTGCCCTCCTAGTGTGAAATCAGAATGAAGAATTTAGATCATAGGGAGGAAACTGTCAAAAGGGGACTGGGCCAGACTCCAACAAGGGGAAACATAAGCTCCGGGCCTGCTGGGGGCAGCTCTGTCCCCTGTGGCAGACACAATGGGGATCGGAAACAGGTGCTGGCTGTGTCTCCCTCTAGGTTGAGTCAGTGTGTCAAGCAGCCAGCATTCTGCCTCTGATTCTCCTGTCTTTTGTTCAGATTTGGTTTCCTGGTACATTTTCTTTGGATGTCAGTTTCTTGTGAGAGAATTGCAAATTCCTTTTTAGGAGCCGTTTTGAATGACAAGTGGAAGTAATCATTAATATCTTTTATTGTTTGTTCAAAGAAGGAAATCCAGAGGATATTTGGTATTAACCTTCTAGGGACTTTAATTTTTACATCAATGGAAAGAATTGGTCTAAGGAGAAGACTGGAGCTTGCCACCTCCCCCTCCCGAAAATGGGGGTTATAGTACTTTAGTTTTTTAAATACTGTACTTGTAAAGAACTGGAGGTGTATTGGTCCAAACATTTGAGCCATCATAGTTGTTTGTTGCTACATAAACTTTCCTCCAGCATATGCATTGTGGACAAATTCATTATTTGGGACACTGCCTATTTTTGCCCGCCTATAGGAGCTAACTTTGTTCTTGGCAGCTGTGGATGCACAGAACCCAATATATTGGACTCAGAAAGGAAGCCTTTCTATAAACATGAGGCAATACAGATGAATTTACCTACTGTCAAGTGGCAGTTTTCAATCCTGGACTACATAAGTACCTTTGCCTCCCAGCGATAGTAGGCAAGGCATTCATGCGGGCACACTGCTTCTCTCTTCCCCCTTCTAAGTAGTAGATGTTTAGGAATTAATCACTGTGAATTATAGTGTGGCAATATCTATAGTCATATCTAATAATTCACCATGCATTTTCTTTAATACATTTCCCTCTACAATACATTTACATCTCCATTACAAAAAGTTTTACATATTTTTCCCAAATGTGTTTGAGTATTAGAATGAGAAGATTTGGATATAAGTTTTTGGGTAATATGTTCTCATAAGACATGAATTTACATTCTTCAATACCAGAAATACATGTAAAAGCTATATATTAGACTACAGGATTATTGCCAAGTTTTGTTGTTGTTGTTTCTTATTTTTTGTTTTGAATCAGTGTGTAGCTAGGAGGAATACAATTAAATTGCTCAGTGGAAGTGACAGAGGGAATCAGAAGAGCTTGGTGTTACAGAATGTAATTAATGTACCACAGTGTTTGGAGGTATATGAAACAAATGCAATTAACCAGCTCGCTGGAACAGCAGTAGCAAGACATCATTTCTCTCCTGTCCTCCCTCCCTCCTGTCCTGCCTCCCTCACTTCTTTTCCTCTCTCCCTTCTTTCCTTCTCCCCCACCCCCACCTCCCGCCTTCCCTAGGGACACATGTAGGACTTTTGTTCTGATATAATTTTATAGGAGAAGGGCGGGGGGATTTGTGTCTGGCCCACAATTATGCAGCCAAATTCATAGTAACGTAGCAAAAAATGCCTAGGGTAGAGAAATTAAAAAGGTAACATTCATTTTTTCCTGTGTTAAACTAATTTTTGTATTTAGTATCTAATATGTCGAAAGCAAATAAAACTGTGGACACTTAGTGAGTTCCTATGTAAATCACACTGTTGACATTGGATTGCCTGTGGTTTACTCCAGAATGATGACAGCCTCTCCATGGGGACTGTTGGAGATTTGGGAGGTAGACAACACTGCCCTCTAGGCCATTTCAACACCGGGACTGAGTGTTCACATGTACAATGAGGGAGCTGGCTGCTCGGCTCTTTCAGCTTTCTTACTCTTCCAGGATTCCAGGATTTCTGTTTGCTTATTATCCTTCTTATAAGTGTGTGCTCATTCTCCCCATGAATTTCAAATTTAGAGAGGCTTGTACCATTTCAAAGATATACTGACTATCCATGTGCTAGACACAAAAATTAATTTTATTCAGTGACAAATGATACATAGATTTGCATTGAAATTTGCTTGGTGGGTTATTTATATGTGCATTTTTATGGCATGTGAAGAATGTTAGCGTTTTGCCTTCTCATAGAAGGTACATGCTAATATTTATGATTGTTCAGTATCATGTGTCTGTAGGAATCCATAGAAAATAAATATTAAGTTAGCTGATAACTACATGCAAACTTTTCTATTTGGGATGTCGATGCAGATTTTCTCATTTGGTAGAGATTAATCAAATGCAGATTTTCCTTTACTATTAATAGGAGATTATGTAATGAACTTAGCCTTTGTTCTCCAGATTTTCTTTATTTTTAAATAAGGATATAGTTTCCCAGTCATTTACAGGAAACTAATATAAACCATCACAAGACTTTTAATTATATCTATATCCCATACATTCTGTCAATTCAATAATTTTATGATACTTTAATACTTGTAAAAAGATACTTTTAAAATGAGAATAGTTTTCTTATCTAAGCCTTAACTAGTTTTTTTTTCCAGTGTTGTTTCTTTTAATGAACCCCATCTCCCTGAAGGATGATGCAGGTAGCTAGGTGGTGGCAAGAGGTGTTCACTTGAAGATTCTGCCCTGATTGAAGGCTTTGCCCACATGCAGCCTTAACTATTCCTAAATGGAAATGACACACATGGTATTTGGGGAGATAAAGATGATGTGTGTTCACAGTGCAGATATATAATCTCATACAGGTTTATACATTCTGCTAAAGTGCTTCTTTTAATAATAGGCTCATTATTGTAGCCATATGTAGTCCATTTCAGAACTTAAATTGCATATAAGTAACCTGAAATTTGTTCTTGGGACTCTGCAGTAATATGAGGTTTGAATTGGCTTTGTTTGAATAACCTTTGTGTCTAGGCAACATGTGGACCATAAACCAAAAGGATTTCTTAGAACATCAAAAAAGACTATCTTAAAGGGGGGGAAAAAGTCATGGTTATACAAAGAACAATTCGGGCCATCTCATCCCTGAGCAGCCTGTATAAAATAGCATTTTGATAATAAAAATATGGATATGTAAGCACATTGAATACATTTGGATGCTTATATAATAATGAAGGGAGCTCATGTATGTGGGATGAGTGTCCAGTGAAATCTGCTTCAGTAGTTCCTGCATTCTGTAGGAGATACGTTTACTTCCTATGTGCAATTTGGTTTTGAAGAGTATTTGGAAGAAAAATTTTCCTTTTACTTATTTCTTCTCCTACTCTTCCTCTTCTCCTCCTCCTTCTTTTTTGAACCTGATGTAAGGAATTATAAAAGTATTTGAAGAGTAAAGAAAATAGGTGAGGTTGTTTCTTAAATAATAATTTAGAACATCTGCATTTAAAGGAGATATGTTAATCATGTTTTACTTTTGGGTATATCCAATTGGGTCCTCAACTTTATCATTTTTATTTTCTAATACCATATAGCTTTATGGAAACTTATTTTGTATAGATCCTATCTTTTTTCAGTTTAGACAGACAGAAGTCTACAGATTGGAGTTCAAGCAGACAATGGAAACTTATAGAGTATCATTTTATAGATTAATTTTTAAAGAAAATATTGTTATGTTTCTTATAGCATCTCCATGTATGGACCTATCAACCTAAATCAATACATTAATATTGATTTTTTTCCTTCTTTTTAATTATTGACTAAAACATAAAGCCTTTTAGGGGAAATTCCCATATACTTTTTAAAATGTGTCAACAGTGTGATATATTATAATAGAGATCTAATATAGCATTTAAAGTGTGTTCGTCTCAAAATAAATAAAGTGAAGCAATCTCACCCAAAATACATATCCGTAACTCAAAACAGCATTACTCCTAGAGAGAGGAGTAATCTAGGCCTCAAACCTTAGTGTTTTCTTCTGCATTTGCATCTAATACTTAAGATCGTTCATCCCGTTGCTGATACTTCTTACATTGCCCAGTCACTGTGTGGAAGAATCTAAGTTCCATGAGTTTGGCTCTTATATCATTGTAGTTCCAGTGCCTGGAACAGTGCTGGACACATCTGGCTGACTGTTTGACATCTTTGCATGATAGCTAATAAGAATATATCAAACTGAAGCCTGGGATAGAATCTGCTCCTTTTTCTTGTCATCTCCAGCTCAGTAAATGGCATCACTATTCCCAGAGTTTTTCATGATCCCAAACCAGGGATCATTCTTGGCTGGTACTCACAGCCCATATCCAAATTGTTAGTGAACTCTGTTGACTATAAACAAACTCAGCCAGATACTTCTTCAGCAAAATGGGTTTATTTGAGAGCAACTAGAAATTTCAATCTGGTACATGCAACCACAGTGAGGCATGTGAAAGTTCGCTAAAACAAAGAAGGGGAAATCTTTGATAGAGGGGAAAAAGGAGTTAAAAGGCCTATTACAAACAGTTTCCCTTGTTGTGCCTCATGATTGAGTTAGGGTGGGAGAGCTTCCCATTCTGGCCTCCCTACTTCACTTTAAATGAGGTTTCTGTTATTAATTTTCACAACCTTT